GAGGAAGGAAAGAAACCAAGATTAGGGAATCACATGAATAAAGGCACTGAGGTGTCCCCATGTGTCATGATATAAATAAAGTCAGGATTTTCTCTGAGCTATGTCCTTAAGACTTTCAGACCCCCAACATTACTTTTCTCGGGGGGAAAATAAGCATCTGGTAGTCCTTTCGAATAATGATTTCACAGCACCAAAGTTCACTACCAATTTAACAATGAAAATCTTACAGAACAATTAGCTATATGATCTTAGGCAAGATGTTCAAGTGCTCTTGAATGTGTGTTTCCTTACATGCTAAATTTTGTAAAATTTAGCAGCTAAAGGAAGGAGTTGCATTAAATGGCTCTAAAGTCCAATCAATCTCAAATTCTCTACTTTAGCTTTTGGGGAAGAACCAAATAAATAAACCTTACAATCTAACTTCTTTTAGAAAATGAATAAAAATACCTGTTACTAAATTTCAACAACAAATAAACAGTCATATTCAGAAAGCAGTGTAATACTATGGGAAAAAATAAAAAACAGAGAACTGGAGTCAATCAGACCTAGATGCAGTCATATTCTGCTCCTTAGTATGTAATGACCCTGAGCAAGTTAGAAATCTTCAGGATTTGTTTTGAGAATTAAAGGCACTATATGTAAAGCAATTATTAAGCTGATATTTTAAAAAACCTGCACTATCATTTCCCAGGTAAAATCAGCCAAGGTAAAATCTCTACCAAATCACTTATGTCCAAGATTTGAAAAAGCCACGCTAGTTAATATTTCTCCTAGTAATTTTAGAGATAGAGCTTAATGGCTGCCTCAAAATTTAAGATTCTTCTGGAAGTTTAGCAGAGTAACCTTACCTCCTATAGTGCTAGGAGTCTCACTTCCTAAATATGAAGCTAAGAACTACAGCTTTAATTTCAGTTTGTGATCACAGGGGTAAGAGAATTTTACAAACCCTCAAATTTTTGGAAAATAAAACAAGACTAAGATATGAGTTTAACTCATTTTGGACATTAAGAACACTTAATCTTGGTATTGAGACTTTAAACATGGTATAAGAGCCAACTATGTGTAAAGAAGCAATAGAGATTCAAAAGATAATAGGACAGGGCAGCACTTGTGGCTCAAGGAGTAGGGCGCTGGCCCCATATACCGGAGGTGGTGGGTTCAAACCCGGCCCCGGCCAAAAAAAAAAAGATAATAGGACAAATATAAAGTACCTTTGAGTCTAGGAGGAAAGAGAGACATAATTACAGCAAACTAATGAATACAAGTGAATGAATAAACAAGATAGAATCCACTGGGGTGGGAAGAGGGAGGACCAGAAGACAAAGACATTTAAAAAGCAGATAGTGCTTACGTTTTATCTAGAAAAAACAGTAGACTTTGCCAGCAAGACAAAAGCAGGAAAGGTATTCTAAACAGAGGGGAGAACATATGTGAAGGCTCTAAGTTAGGAAACAGCATGGCTCATTCAGTAAACTGCTCAGATTCATATAATTGAAGCTTGAGATTTATGGTGGAAGAAATGCAGATGATGAGCCAGATATGAAAGGCCTGGTAATGATAAAGAGTTGGGACTAATAAAGTGTAGCTTTTAAGAAAGAAGCACTGAACAGATATGCATTATAAAAAATTACCTTGGAGTTAGTATAAGGATAGGTTAAAGGTGGTCAAGTCTGGAGACACTTAGTGGCCTCATTCTACATCCAGAGTTAAATAAAGACATAACATTATCATATACTATTCTATTAGAGAGCCAGGGATCCGAAATAAAAATAATAATGCTTTAACAGATAAAGTTAAATTATCCAAAGGAAATCATTTACCTTCAAGAATGTATATTCTGGAATTAAATGATTCCCACATATCTTTAAAAAGAAGAGGTTTCTAAAATTAGATATGATACATAAAAACTACATGGAACTAGTTTTACACTGAGAACTACTCTTACGTATCTCTCCCTTTTAGGACATACAATACTGCAGATCTGCAACATAAAAACCAATGCAATAATCAAGTAAATGAGGTGAAAGCTATGATGACTGGTTTGATGTAACCACGTCAGATTGTATAAAAAAAAATCAGCACATTGTACCCCACATATGCATGAATGTACTCATGATCTATGTGTATTTGACTTAATAAAATTAAAAAAAACCAATGCAGTATAATCCTGGGAATTTTAGTTTATATTGATTATTGGCAGGGCTACTCTTGATATATCTATATATCTATCTATACCTATGTATGAAATCTGAGGCCCTGAGAGAGAAGGAATTATCTAAGGTCACACCATTAGCAGCACAAGGAAGGCTGGAATTCAAGTCTTATAATTTCCTTTCTAGGAATTGTTTTAGTATGTCACATTTATGATTCTAGAATTTTGGATAACTGAAAATACACTGTCACACTCTTATTTTCAGCAGTGTATCAATGAAACTATGAAACTATTTTTGTGGTCCATATACCTTACAAGAAAAACCTATCTATTATGTATGTGTCTACACTTGACAAAAAGAAATCTCTTCCTGAAGTTTGGGCTGTAATAACAACACCTACTTTCCCCCTCCCCCCACAAAAAACGTATCCTATTCTTCTGTAGGAAACCTAAAAACATCCTTTCTCAAACTTGAGAAACAATTAAATTTGAAAATAAAAAAGACCTAAGATTAATTTATCTTTATTTAATTAAATATCCAACTACCTTAACATGATCCAACATTTTACTTAGGTCTATGTCTTTTCTTAGTTTGTTGTGCTGCCTACTCTACCTCATTCCCTTATAATTTTTAGATATTTAAAATATCTTTTTGGCTTCATTATTGTGGAAGTGGCAACCTTGACCAAAGCCTTACAAATTCTGTACATTTCACCAATTTGCATAGTTACCAAAATGTTTTAATTTTTAGATTTCTCGGATTTGCACTTAAGTAATGCCTGCTCACTGAAATAGATTAAAGTAATATAAAAGTACACAAATAAGCAGCTCCTGTCCAGGCCTCTGCAACTCCCTCCTGAAGAATTCTACAAACGTGATTAAGTTTGATGTGTGTATCCTTACAGATTTTTTAATGCTTACGTAACACAAGCATCTTCAAAGAGTCAATATATATTTAACACCTAAACTCTAATCATAATTTAATCTTTCTTTAATAATTCAGAAGGGAGGTAACTATCTTGCTTGATTGCTGGTCATCACAACACACACCAAATATATTTCATACAGGGATTATAAAATAAAGAGCTGAATCCCAAGTACCCGAAGTATTTCTTCCTTAACAGCATTGCAACTTTTAATGTATGTATTTATTTTTTGTCTTCCTCTCTCTCTTGATTTAGAAAATCACATGGCAACTGCAATCACTGTACTTCCAGAGTAACACCTAGCAGATCATCAAATATTTGTTGACTAATTGGTCTATGCTTACTTAGAAATCAGAAAAGCTACTTTTTAAAAAAGTTTCTGAAACCTGCTTAATTTATCATTTGCCTTTCTCTCAAAAATGGGGAGAGGATCTGCTTAAGGTATTCTGGACTGTCATTCCAAACAAACATCTCCTCAACAACAAGTTCATCTCTCTATGAGTACAGGGCCCACTGCCTGTAGACTTCATTTAGAGGCCTCTGCATAGCATGAGCAGCTATCTAACCAAAAGAACTGTCAGGCAAAAAAAAGACTTTCTGACCTATACATTTTTTTAAAACCATACATATACATATAGGTGATTTTATTTAAATTCCACCTAAGTCTGGGCTAGTTACAAAGAACTCTGCAAAAGATCCAAAGCTAAGGACACCTGTACGGTACAATGAAACTGTTAAACAGCATTCCCTAAAAGAGCTCCACTGGCCATCCTTACAGGTCAAAAGATGCTTTTGCTGAGCTCTAGCTTTGGGACTTCAAATTCCAATGCTTTCTGGTGGCTGAACTTGAAATTATCTCTCTCCACAAATGCTTTTCAAAGGACAGAGAGAAGCCAGGACACACTTGGCAGCACTACTTGACTCTGCCTAATGATCAGGCAAACACTTCAGAGCAGATCAAATAATACAGGATCCCTAGGAATAATAATAAAGCAGAACACCTAGGAAAGGCCCACAGCCTCCTCTTCCAGCTTCCAGTTGCTAAGGAGCTGTATCCACGCTCAATCTGTGAGGACTCGTTTCCTAAAGAACCTACAGACACTTGCCCATCTAAGGCGCTGCCACCTCTCCAGCTCCCAGAGCTCCAGCTAGACCAGCGCGCCCCCACAGGGATCCCGGGGCAAAGAAAAGAAAACTGCAGAACAAACCCACTGTCTCTCCAAGTAGGCAACAACACCGATTAATCCTCAAACTAAACAATGAGTAAATTTCATTTGGAGAGAGAGACCTGATAAAAAATGTTCCAGGATGCTGACCAGTCACAGACTGTCTGGATGCCACTAAAGCCTTCTCCCGCCCCTGGCCAACCCAGTGCCCGCCGAGCCGCGCCCACCCGGAAAGGTAACCGGGGACCCGCTAACTCGCCCCACCACCCGCAAAAGACTGGAGGCCATGCCAAGTTACCGCCCCCCTCTGGGCAAAGGAGAAACCCCAATACAGACGCTAGTCGCGGCCGTACACCCTTCCGCCCCCAACAACCCACCAAGGCGGCCCCCGCCCCTGCAGAACAGATACATCGCCCTCTCACCCTGAAACACTGAGCAACAGACCCAGCTTCAGATCCGAACCCTGCTTCATTTCAGGAATCCAAAACAGACGTCCACGCCTGCTCAAAGGACCCCCCAAACCCTAACGATCTGCCCCTGGAGAGCCAGGACCTTCCGAAACTGCATCCCCTCCCTGCAAAGAGCCCGAGACCCCAATAAGCAGACCCCTTATTCCGGAACCCCAGTACCCACTTCAAAGAACATTAAGACTCATAAATCTCCCTCGACTCCAAAGACCCGGGACCCTCGATGCCTGCACCCACTGCCATCCCTAGCCAGAAGAACCCCAGGACCCGCAATAAACTGCCCCCTCACCTCGGGAGCTCCGGAACTCGCCACACCGCCCTTCGGTGCCCGCACCCAGATCCCACAGCACCGCCGCCTCGCCCCTCGCACTTCCGAGCTCCGCCGAGCCTCGCGCCCACCAGGCAGCGCCGCGCAGCCCCGGAGCCGCCGCCGTCAGGAGCCCGCCTGTCCCGCTGCTCCGCGCCCCGGCTCCCCGACCGCTCCTCAGCGGAGACACGCTCCGAGCTTTCTCACCTGAGCAGCGTCGGAGGGCAAGCAGACGCGGGAGCTCTGAGGAGCAGAAGGAGACGGCAGAGAAGGGGCGGCTCAGGCCTGCGGTGCCGCAGCTCCAACCCCTCGGCGAGGAAGCGCTGGTGTGAGCAGAGCCCTCCCGCTCCGCGCGCAGCCGGGAGACCGAGCCACCGCCGCGCTCGCCGCTCTTCCCGCGAGATCCCAGCCACGGCGAGGGGCGGGGCCACGGCGGGGGGCGGCCGCGGCGGCTTCTCGAGTGACAGCCCTGGCAGCCCCGCGGCGGCGGCGCAGGAGGTGGAACTCGGAATCTACTACGACCAATTGCGAAAGAGAAAAGGCGATTCGCCACGCCCCTCCTCCGCCCCTCATCAATAAACTATGAGCAAAGGCGGCAACCACCTAAAGTAGTTGGAGGCCTTGGGCTTTCAGGGTAAGGTAGCTTGCATGACGTGCCTTGGCTTTGTGTCTGGTCCTGCTAGGCCGCCGTACCTGCACCAGGTTTGGGGAAGAGACTCGTCTTCACACCGGTGTAAACCGAAGCGCTGTTACCCTTGGTTACAGCGCGGCCTGAAGTGCGCAGGGGGTTCCCACTTTCCAGGTTGAGGGCTCATCCTCCTGGAGTGTTCTAGATCGCTGTTTAATGCACAGTCCTCTTTCTCACTGTTTTGGCCTCTTCTCCCTCTTCACCCCGAACAGGGAGCTATTGTTAAGGTGCCCATGTTTTTCTAAAGCCCAACCCGGGACATCTGGTCTGACAAAGAACTCTTCTGATTCGCGCGTTTATTTCTACTTAAAGCCTTTTAGAAGGGTGAAAAGAAAATCTCCTTTGAGTCACCAACATAACAAATTCCAAAAATACATGAAAAGTAGACCCCAGTGCCCAGTAGTGTTTGGCACACGCAGGGTACTGAATAAATGTGAAAGGAATGAATGAAGACTGTGATACTTAAATATATGAAATCTGGATCTGCCCCAGAAAATGCAGCTTTCTTAGCCCGTCTATAATGACAGCTAATCTTTTCACCCTGAAGTCCAGTCTCTTCATTATCATGCCTCTCCTGTAGCCTTCATTCATCTTCCCCTCCTCACTCCCTCACTCACAGCAGGAAGTGCCCTTTCTCCTCATCAAGGTTAACCCCTGCACCTGTGCACTAGAGTGCAGCCATTCCCAGATTTTGTTTATCCAGCTATCCTTTCTTTCCCCATTATCAATTTCTCCCTTTAACTGAACTCTTTTCCCACAAACACATTCAGTCTCCCCCATTCTTTGACTAGAACAAAATCACCCAGCCTCTTCCACCCACTCAAACTACTTTCTTTCTTCTCAGAATCATACTTCTTGAGAAACATTGAAGAACATTTGCTGTCTCCACTTTCTCATCTTATTTTTCTCACCACAATGTTGCTTTTGTCCACACAATCTGCTGTTCTCTCAATGATTACAAAAAACCTCTTTCCTAATGGATGGACGATCTATTTGGGGGTATCTTTGCGACTCCTCTCAGCCTATTGACAATGCTGACGTTTCTTCCTTTAGCACCTGCCTGACTATATTCTCCTGATTCTATAGCTACTCTTCTGATTATTTTTTCTGTCCCTTTTCCTGGTTTGAAAACTGTTGCATATCGATGTCTCCTTATCTTGTAGCCACACCTGGTGCATAATTTGAAAATTAACCACACATGGTTGCACATTTTGAGTGCCAATAAGTGGCTCAGACCAAAGCTGTTTGAGGAGTCCAGAGGGAAGAGATATGGCTGTGAGGCTTGAGCTGGGTCATAAACAGTAGGTTGGCCCATATAAATGCAGGGCAGAAATGGAGGCCTTTTAGAGGAGAAAAATAATGTGAACCTAAGCACAGAGAAAAGGCTATGGGCCAAGCCTGGCTGTGGGTTGACCAGTTTGATAGATACCTACAGAAGAATAGTGGCAGGTAAGATTAGAGGAGAAAACAAACAATTAAAGGCCTTCATAACCAGCCCAAGCTGATTAGACTTGATTCTGTATAAATGGGGAGCCAGGACCAACTCTAACATTTGTAGGGCCCATAAGAAGGCTACACATAGAGGCCTACCTACCAAATGTCTAAATATGTAAAACTTGTAAAACAAGCTGACAAACTGAAATGTTTGAAAAGTATGTCCTTTTGCCTTGACTAACATACTTTCATCAGAACTTGGAAGACTAGGTCTGAATTTAGAATTCTGGGACTTCTCAGAGCTCGCTTCTGGAGCTAGTCAGGTCAGGGAGATCTCCACTCAGAGCAGAGCAGCCTTTACCCCTTTGCTTCTCATAGCCAGTTCAGCACTACTCTGCAAGGTACCACCCATTCCATGGACACTCCACCCACAGGCCCAAACTCCGTTCCCATTTTCACCCCTCCAAAATAGGGGTGGCTGTTGCATGGGCCCAGGAGTTTATATCTCAGCATCTGGGGGAGAAGCCCACATAGGCTCTAGAAGTGGCTCAGGGCCATTTGGACAGGGAATTCTGCCTCCTGGGTCCCTGAAGGGATAAAATGAGTCCTGGTGAATACATTCCCTGGCCTAATGGACTCTGGCTGAGTATGGAGGAGTATAGTTAGAGAAAGGTCAGAGTACAGCCCTTTAAAGGCAAGACCTTCCTGTATCTAAAGGTGGTAGCAGCAAAGCCACTGAATTTTTTAGTGAGGGAATGACTTGTAAAGTCAGTCTATAGCTTCAAGTATGAATCTGTACTTTTCCGCTCTCTACTCTCACACTGGTGTTTTAATGGCAGGAATGTACTAGAAAAAAACTCTATTCTTGATTTTATCCTCACATGACATCAGTTTGCCAATGCTCAGTTTCACAAATTATGCCATTCTATGATTCCCTTATTAATTAGTGTATCAGAAACCTGGTGTTGCTGAATGGGAGAAAAGAGAAAAGCTATGAAGTGCTCTCAGCCTGGAATAAAGCTGGGAACACTTACATTTGACTTCTAAATAAAAATGCTTTGCAAGTAGAAGCTCTTGAGGAGACCCGTTTGAAGGATACACAAGCAATATGAGTACTGCAAAGGCAGTAAGCTGCCACAGATGGGGGCACCCCTCTCGCCATCTGTCTTTATGGTGTGAAGCTTCACTCTGTGGCCTGACAGTCATGCTTTTTTCCAACAACCTCTCCATCTGGTACCAGGTGCTTCCCTTCCTCATGTTAGAGCCACCAAGGACCCAGAATCACTGTGGTCAGATATTCAAGCCTAGAATTGTGCCTGTGGGTCCTGAACATCCCTCAGGAGTACTGCAGTGATTTTAATATAAGGCTTTGGCGCTTGCTTGATCCCAGAATTGGGATCTACTCATAGTCTCACTGTCACCATCTGTGACCGGCCTTTGCCAATGAGCAGAATAGAATCTGCTAGCTTCTTACTCAGGTCTTACCATCTGCTGCCTGCATTCTGACCTATTAGTCTAGATGAGTACAACCAAACAGTCCTGCCCCTGTTCAGAAGCCTTCCTAATGTCCAACACTTTGAGCATACTCTAAGAAAAGCTACTTCCTGGCCACTGCATATTCACAAGGAACACAGAAGACAGTGTTGTTTCAAAAGGTGTAGAAGAAAAAAATCTGGCTCTCTCAGACACAGCTTTCACTTTAACCTTTTAGAGTTTTGAGGATCCTCTATTTGGTTGGGTTTGAAGGGTAAAATTCTGTGTGAATGACTCCAAGATTTGAGGGAATGGTATTCATATGTCCATTTGCTGCCCCCAGAGTAAGCCCCTGACTTTGGTTTCCTTTTGGCAGATAGCCGGTCACAAAGAGGAAAAATTGAGGCCAAGCTAGGTGGATCACTTGAGCTTAGGAGTTGGAGACCAGCCTGATCAAGACTGAACCCCATCTCTACTAAAAATAGAAAAATTAGCTAGGCATTATAGCGGGCACCTATAGTCCCAGCTACTTGGAAGGCTGTGGTAGGAGGATCACTTGAGCCCAAGAGTTTGAGGTTGCTGTGAGCTACGATGACGCCATGGTACTCAAGCCTAGGGCAAAAGAGTGAGACTGTGTCTAAAAAAAAAGCAGGTGGGAGATGGAGAAAACAGTGGTGGTTTTCCAGCATGTTTTGTCATTATTTGATACACCTCCTCTGAAGAAGTGGAGCTTAATTCCCCTCCCTTTGAGTATGAGCTAAATCTAGTGACTCACTTCTAGCAGACAAAATATGGCAGAAGTGACTGTGTGACTTCTGAGACTAGGTTATAATAGAGATTGTAGCTTTTTTTCTTAGTCTTTCTCCCTCTTTGATCACTCACTCTAGAGGAAGCCAGCTGCCATGTCCTAAGAATCTTAAAGGAAAGGTCTCTCTGGCAAGAAACTTAGGTCTCCAGCCAAAACCTGTGGGAATGAGCCATCTTAAAAGCCCCCATCCAGGCTCAGTAAAACCTTCTGTTGATCACAAGCCCAAGGCCAACACCTTGACATAACCTATGAGAGACCCTGAGCCAGAATTCCTCAGCTAAGCCTCTCCCAAATTCCACACTGGAACTATATGAGATACTGCATATGGATCCTTTGAGCCATTTCATTTTGGGGTCATTTGTTATACAGCAATAGATAGCTAACATGAGTGTTGAAATAGTTCAGTCTACTCTGCTTCTGGGACAAAAATCTGAAAACATACATTCTATCAGGCACCAACATTACCTAAAGAGCAAAGGACAATGGATCAAAATTCAAGAGCTACTGTGCCAAAAGAAAGTGGAAAAAAACAATTTGTAGTGGAAACAAAGATTCTAGTGCCTTCAGACTCTTAAGAGCATCACAAAGACTAAAGATAACAATTGTGGGGCTATTTGGAGATAGTTAACAGTAGTCTCGAGCAGCAGGGAAGCCCTGCCCTCCCAAAAGCTTAGAGTGCTTCACAAACATACTACTTTCATCTAATCTTGTAGGAAAGTATATGTTTCCATGAAAACAGAAGAGAAAAACCTCAAACATGTTCTT